ATATAGAAGTAGTTACTGGACATACAACAGACAGTTCTATTATATTTATATAGATGTAGTTACTGGACATACAACAGACAGTATTATTATATTTATATAGCCATTACAACAATATAAATATATCATAGAATTAAATGATATTCATTTTTAGTCAGTCCAGCAGTTACAGTGAGAACTTTTGAATGTTAACAAATATTTAAATTGCACACACTATACGCTTTTGAAGTGCTAATTTCTATGAAATAAGTTTTGTATAAAAATACATTTAACTGAATCTTGTAGGCCTAATTAATCAAGACGTATATTCACATAGGCTGAATCTTGTAGGCCTAATACATCGAAACATATATTCACATAGGCTGAATCTTATAGGCCTAATAAACTGACTTTTGAAGGTTATTTCGTGGTTTTAAAACGTCATTTCTAAAACACATATACTTTCTAGTTTTTTACCAATATCCATTGATACGACAGTGACTTTCGTTTCATTAAAACATGTACATCATTAAGCCTATTGCTTCATCTTTTTATTAGATAATGTGTCACTGTATTTTATCCAATCACATTATATTTGAACTTTTTATACTGAAGCTTTTCAAGAACTAAATATATTTAGTTTGTTTGTAGTTAAGCACAAAGCTACATAAAGGGCCATCTGTGCTCTGCCCATCACGGGTATCGAAACCCGGTTACTAGCGTTGTAAGTCTGCAGGCATACCGCTGTGTCACTGGGGGGGGGGGGGCAAATATATTTAGAAACACTATTCAATCCAATATTAGTTGTTTTTCTTGTCGATCGTTTGTAAAGAACTTTCATGAAATATGTTAAGTTTTGTTGCGTCTTTTCAAAATCAATGAAGATAACAAAGAAGAAAGATAAGAATGATATCCGTCTGCACGTAACAATCCATGATAAATGTGAGATTTGAAGCTATATAGTATAAAGTGTAAGTATCTTTGATGTCGTCATGTTTCTTGTTTATAGGAATGGCCGTTGTCGAGCAGGGGTCTATTGTGCCGCAAATTTTGCAATAGAACAAGTTGTTCAACACGACGAAGTTGACGTTTTTCTGGCAGTTAAGACAGTGCGAAGACATCGACATCAATTGGTGGAAAATCTGGTGAGAAACATTTCAAACATAGAGCGTGTGTTCATATAGAAAATAAGTTTTCTTTTCTTTACAGGAAATAATAGTTTCATTAATGTTGTGTGTACTACCTTTGAACACCCTCCAAGTGGGTTTTTTTGTACAAAAAGTATTAAGAAATATAGAAGTCAAAGTGAGAAGAATTATAGTGGACTTTGTAGAGTAGTGAGTCCCAATTAGCATCCATAGATGATAACCATAGAGCCAAGGGCCAGACTTGGACTTATTGAGGAATAAATCATTACCCATACACACGCTTCTGTATTACAGTAATTAACAATGCAACTCTAATCGTAGTGTGGGCCACGAATCAGACTTTCATGGGCCTGATGTGGTCCATCTCGTTTGGGACTTTACAATGCCTGCTTAGTTTTATTTATGCAATACTTTTGGTTCGAAGCATACCACATTTTCATAATAAAATTACATTATTTTCTGTTTTATGAAGTAAACAGATCAGACACTCTGTCTTAAAGCATTGCTCTCACAAGTCCTAATATGTTTCAGTCACTAACTCTAATAGTATAGTTTAAGAAATATTCGTTGATTTCTTTTTTTTGTATTAATGTACCTAATAATAAGTAAAACTAGTAGAAAGATGTCTATCCAAGATGAAACTTTTAAAAATGAGCACTATTAAAGGGACAGACACTTGATGGAAGGAAAGTCTTGAGATGTTATCTTGCTATTGTATTTCTTCTTTTGAGGGATCCCTGACCATTTCATAGATAAGATCCTGGAGAATTGTGAGGAAAGGTTTTTATAAATGTCTGGTATATTTATAAATATATCTAAAAGTGTTTGTAATGTCAGTAGTCTTGTACTTGGTTGATTTTTACATGAGAAATGTCTGGTATATATATAAATATATCTACAAGTGTTTTTAATGTCAATAGTCTTGTACTCGGTTGATTTATACACGAGAAATGTCTGGTATATTTTTAAATATATCTACAAGTGTTTGTAATGTCAGTAGTCTTGTACTTGGTTGATTTTTACATGAGAAATGTCTGGTATATTTATAAATATATCTACAAGTGTTTGTAATGTCAGTAGTCTTGTACTCAGTTGATTTTTACATGAGAAATGTCTGGTATATTTATAAATATATCTACAAGTGTTTGTAATGTCAGTAGTCTTGTACTTGGTTGATTTTTACATGAGAAATGTCTGGTATATTTATAAATATATCTACAAGTGTTTTTAATGTCAGTAGTCTTGTACTTGGTTGATTTTTACATGAGAAATGTCTGGTATATTTATAAATATATCTACAAGTGTTTTTAATGTCTTGTATTCAGTTAATTTTTACACCTAATTTTTTTTTTCCATTTTCCAGACTGAGTATAAGTATTGTTATGACTTAGTCATGCATTATGTTCTTCACTTCTTGAATAACGAATGAATCAACATCAAGGACTTCTCCATTTTTGTGGTATCAATACTCTGATCCATGAACTTTTTATCGTATGGAATAAATAGATCAGGAATTCTCCACAGGAAGTTTTTATATCACTGATGACAAAACTCTGATGGATTTACTGTCACTGTTTTGTGAAATATGTGAATCATCACCAGGACTCGGGAGAACCTCAAACCAGAATCTGTACAATTTGTTTATTAGAAAAAAAGATTTAAACAGAACTTCTAATTACAAAATAAGAACAGTCCCTAGTTAGTGATTTAATTTTTTCTTGTACAATTTTAAAATAACAACTGAAACCAGAACTCTTTGAGTGAAATGACAAAGCAAGGTATAAGGAATTGAATACGTATACATGTATATTTTCACAAACCGAGTTCCTGAAGCTTGTTTTGAGGTAAGTGGATCTCATGTAAAAAATGTTATATTCAGAATGTTTAATTTTTTCCTTCAGTTTGCATCCCCTGTATTAAAAGATCTGTTATTAGAAACATGCAAAATAAAAAAGCTTTTAATTTGCTTTCCTTTTTCTATATAAATAATGAATTATTAGACAGATGTTTGAATTTCAATAGGAAAATAAGACCATATTTGTACACGTCACATTATTCATATTTCTATTCAGTCAAACTTGAAAAATGTATTAATAAAATAATACATCCCCTCTAGTTAACACAGTTTATGGTGTACAACCTAACTAATAATAACTTTTAATATGATAATTTTTTATCATTCATGAGTGGGGGTAACACGTCTTCCATTCCTGTTGCCAAATTCTCTGGTCTTCATAGTTAGAAATGAAGCTTAACTTTGAAATGTTGTTTAAAAAACTTTACACTCGTTGAACATTGTAGAAGATTGGTAACGTTTAGACGGTACAGTGAGATCCGAAGACAATTTTCAACTTAACCTTTTATTTATAGCAATAAATTCACCTTGAAGTACGCTCCATATACAATTTTACTCTACGTTAAACCTGATAACACTATATCGTATTTTATACACCTCAACAATATACACTCACCTTGAAGTACGCTCCATATACAATTGTCTGAAAACTTCAGTTTACTCTATGTTAAACCTGATAACACTATATCGTATTTTATACACCTCAACAATATACACTCACCTTGAAGTACGCTCCATATACAATTGTCTGAAAACTTCAGTTTACTCTACGTTAAACCTG